CAGATTGTTTTCTCGTTACCAAGGTTAGCTTTATAATGCATGTACATATAATACTGTAATTTAAATGTTAAAGACACCGAAAGAATACTTAATAGATTCTGTACGGCGATTTCTTTTTAGACTTTCTTTGAAATCCCAGTTTATCTCTCGTATATTTCAAGCGATGATATTCCGTGACTTGAAATTCTCAATAGCAATAATAATTCGTGCAACGTTGGACAATCACTAATACAGTAAGATGGGAATAAGCCGTATAAATATAATATTTATTGTTCAAAAACCTCTACTTAGTTTTATTAAAATTATATCACCATATTCTAAGTATATATTCGGGCGCTATTTTAATTATTATTATATATGACATAGCCAGGAGATAATTGCTGCAGGCAAGCGGAAACTATCGTGGGAAGGAGGCTGCAAAAGGAGCGGACTAGACGAAGATAAAAAAAAAAGAAAGCGAGAAGGTTCAGCGCGGAAGGAGAACCGAGTAACTTGGTTTAGCCTCTCCTAGGCTTTGTCTGTATGGGAGGACAGAGACATAGCCTAGAATAGGTTAGGTCAGGACTCGTTCAACATGGATTATCCTCCGACACATAATTCACGGCGCCGATGAGAGGAGATGCGTGGGGAAATATGTCCAGGGTCAAGCTCAAGGTTAGCATACGGCGGGATAGAAAGGATGTCATGCATGCGCGTGCGCATCAGAATTTGCCAGGAATTTTAATGTATATTATTAAACTAATTGATGTTATGTCGCTTGAGAAATTTGTTACGCGATAAGCTATAATGAAGCGAGAGCGAGCGGAAAATATAGATCACGCGGTTGTCGGAAATATAATTTTGTGTGTCTGAAGATATATGGGGAGATGGGGAGAGACTGTAAACACACACATTAATGTATGCGTGTGTATATACATAGTATATACATAATAAATTACGTATAATTATCGTGTTGAAATATTCCGTTATCCTACCTGACAGATAAATATTTTGGTACATTTATAGGATATTGTAAATAAAATAGTTATTTGTGGTCAATGAGTTACAGTGCCGAACAAGTAGAGTGCTTTTTCAGCCGATAAATTAATCCTCTGTATTATCTATTGTGGTTAAAATTTTATTATAGATTTATGCGAAACAATTAATTTACATTTACGTGTAGTATATACGATATAAATGAATTATGTGAATTATGTTTTAAATGACGTAGATAATCTCAGATAATCTATGACTTATCAAAATCTATAATGTTTTTTGTCATTGCACTAGATTATACTAAAAGTTTATACTTCACTTCAACATTAAAATCAGATATATTAACAATCATAAAATTTAATTACTTTTTTATGTTATCTAATTTATAATAATTGACATATTTTTCATTTGTATTGCCTACATGAAAAAAATTCATGTAAATTCAACGTAACAACACTGTTTTATTGTAGATTAACTGCAAGACATAATTGATAATGTCTTTCTTAATGTATCTCAAACAATTTTACAGTCTGACATTTTTATTATATAATACAACTTTTTAACTTTCTCATTACGAAAGCTTTAATCTCAATTTAAATTACAATTTCTTTTTTTCTTATTAAAATATTGAGAGAAATTGAATAAAGGATTTGGAACATCGAAGGGCATAAAATAGACGATTTTCGATTCAATAAAATTCTCATTAATGCCATTCGTACATTTCGCAGTTGAATCTTATTAAATACCGTCACAACTCGCGACTTTTATCGTACGAAAATTATACGTCGAGATCAAAGTGTAAACGGACTCTCGAAACTTGTTCGCCACGCTCAACGCCATCGTCGTTTCAGTCTCGAGAAAATCGAAATTTACTTGCAAGTACACAGTATACGCCATTCGTAAAAATTACGAGCTTTACGAAAACGTTTCTCCGCATTCCCGCGATCTCGTTTCGCTACTTCGCCATTAAACGATCTTGAAAGAACAGGATTTATAAAATGATCGCTATTTATATGTTTGTGGACTTGTGATTCTAACAGCGTAAAAATGTATGTAACTTGAAAGAGCAAAGCGCACTTTTCTCTCTCTCTCTCTCTCTTTCTCTCTCTCTCTCGCTTTATCTCTTAAAGAATATACATTATATGTTATATATAATATATATTCACGTATACAATATATTAATATTATACCTGTATGTATATAATTTTTATATAACATATTAATGTAATATTAGATATATGATATACACATTAAAGTGCTTACAATTGCTCTCGTTCGAAGTGTTGCATAAAGTATCTACTTTCTTGCAGAAGAATGATATAATTTATATAATTTATAAAAATCATGAGCGCTGGACTCACTGGCGAAATTATTACTTGAAGGATTATCATAATTTCGTTCTCACTCGGTCTTCTGCAAACGCCGAGCAAAACGATAACGCGAAAACGATTTTGATGCGCCACTTCGTTAGTGGCTAAGATAACTATTTGATCGATACTGAAATTATACTAGAGTTACCTTTATAAGAACTATGTACAAATGAGTTAACCGATGAATAATCGTATCTAGAACTCGCATTAAACGTGGGCTTCCACTAGCAGTATAAATAAATTAATTGCCTCCCTATGTGGTGTAAAACGCGTAATTCTTCTCGAAATCTTAAAGATAATGTATATCCTCTCTTGGATTATTTTCCGAAATATAAAATGATGACTTGCTAAAACTAAACTTAATGTTTTATTATTGCGATAAAAGATTTCCTAGCATTTTCAAAAACTCAGTGCGGAAAGCAATATTCTTATTCCGTGAATATACAGTTCAGTAGACCAGAAAAAACACAACGTTAATTTTAATTGTATAAATAAAATTTAATTTATATCATTAATTGACATTATAATTTTGAAAAATATATTTATCTATAAATTGCTTTCGAGCAATAGTTTTTTTTATGAAGTAGAATTTTAATAAATTATATAGAACTTTAGAATACTCGAGAAGAGGAAAAAAGAGTGCAAAATTAATTTTCTTAATATTCTAATCGTATGCAAAATAATATATAGAACATATACTAAGATGTCTTTTCTTACATTTGTCCAACATAAATATATGACGATACGATTGATAATGTACAATAAATATTGCGTGATTGTGTAATTTCATTTGTCAAAAATAAATAATTCTAAAAATAAATTTCGTAACTAATCTCGATATATGTAGATATAAGAATTTTATAATAACAGTTTTTAAAAAACATTTATCTCTTATCACTTATTCACATATTTTCTAGAATCTCACGAAAAATCTCGCCTCAAAGTATCATTTCTAGACTTTCTATAATAAGCTATTACTTAAGTTTTAAATCATAAGAAATTCACTAATCACAGTCAATGTAAGAAGAATAATCGATTATAATTGATCAATTTCTTATAGCTTAAGACTTAAAGCTTAAGAAATGATTCATCGTAGAAAGTCCATTTCGTTCCTTATCAAAAGGATTAAAAGCTGTGCGATCAGTCGAAAGTATGACCAAACGTAAACTTTAAAATAGAAATGATATATTGTACAATGTCTCGTGTCATCATCGGCTATGTAAAAGATCTTAACTAATTAAATTTTTTCAATTTTAACAATAAGAAGCAGTCTCTGTAAAACAGTGATTACCAACTGATCGTTAATTCCAGTCTGAATAGCGTGATATGTATATACAATATTCTCGGTAATGACAATAAATAATTACATTTAATATTAGTAAAATTGAGTCGAGTAATTGTATTTAATATTAGTAAAATGCATATTTGACCAGATTATACGAGTATTGCATCTCCTCTTATCACTTAATCAGTTGATAATCTCGTTGTGTAAAACGAAAAATGTATATACGCTATATATATATATTGGTTAAACATAATCATTAAAGAAACATAAGATAGGAAAATAGTGCCTCGGCAGATCCTCTAACTCGATCAGTCTACTTTACTCGAGAGTCATCTCGCACGATCGTCTTTACGATGTATTTTGCCTACGTGTGTTTCTAGTCAATAATCCGACTAAGGCCTACAAATCTAGAGTGCTTGCTCATAAATATGATATGTCGAGTAAAATGTAATATATATATATATATATATATATATATATGTATATATATATATAAAACACATACCTGGAGGTCTCTTTTTCTCTCCTCTCTCAATCTCTCT